CAAAATTTCGCCTGCCTCGTTGCTGCCTGAGCCGATGTCAAGGGCATCATCCCAAGCCCCCTGGTCCACGTCGCCGCCGGCACAGCAGGGATCCCCAGAGCCTGACACGTCACCACCATCGCGCTTGCTGTCCTCATTTTCGGGGTGTTCGCCTCTCTCGCTCTGTTTCTTCTTCCCCACTTCCTCGATCACTTCCATCACCTCAATTTCAGCTTCACCTTCTGCGTCGGACGCGGCCGTAGGCCCACCCTCGCCCACATGGACAAAGGGCTGGAGGGGACTTTCTCTTCCTTCACAGGGTTCTTCCGGAGACCCGCCAGCATTCGCACTGGCGATGGACTCTTCTTGGTTTCGTCGCCGCGGCGTCTGCTCGCCGCTCTCCGTGTCGAAAGATGACGGAGGCACGATCGGACTCGGAGAGGCGAGCGACGACCGATTTCGCCCGTCAACACGTGCCGAAACCGTCACCGTCTCATCACCACAGACGCCAGCATCACCACCACAGTCGGTTGATACCGCTAACGACGGATAGCCCTGCGGGACCAGGGGAACCGACAACGGCGTAGGGGGCCCTGCTGCGACTTCCCCTTGCACGGGTGTCTCGTCGAGGTGCTCCGCCAGCTCTATTGCCGCTTCTGCGCCCCGACAGGGTGCCACGAACTGCGACGGTGGCGCAGACGCCGCCGCCTCACCTTCGATAGGACGTTGTGATTCACCGGGGTGACCATGGTTCAACCCGTCTACGGCCAAGTCTTCCCTGTCTTCGTGCTGCTGCAGCTGCTGCATGTGATTTCCTTGCTGGACTCGAGTAGTAGGAGCCGACGACCCCGAGGCATCGTCCCTGTGGCCCCTCGCCTGTTTACACAAAGTTGATTTTGGTTAGAAGGATGCTTAGAGCGTAGGTCGATCGCCACCATGCAAGCTGAACCCCAACCACCACACCAGGAAAGCATACCCGCCGTCGACGGAGAAGTGATAGACCCCAACGCAACCCTCCATTGTCGAAACACGAACAACGCGACTGACCCTCGACACTTTCCACAACGTTATATTTTTTTCGGTATCGATACATTAATTACAACTTGGAGCTTGCTGGTTACCTTTACATTATGAACGACGATTGTAAAACGGAGTTGTACGTACCGTGTAGCTTTCCCTCCCGCGTTTCCCGGGTTGCGTACGGACCTCGCAAGAACCAGCAGCAGTAGGGTCGTTGTCGATGATATCATCATCAAACGCCATCGCTTCTCCACCCCCTCCGGACACGACCACGCGTCCCATCGTCATCGGGCCAGAGCCCACAACGAACCTACAGCACCCCGGTCGGTCAAAGGTCTCTTCGTAGCTACCGCCGTCGCGCGTTAAGATCTGCCTCATCAAGGGGGGGTCGTCGGTGCCGTCCGGGATGAAGAGCAAGTAAAACTTTTTGTCAGTCTTGTTTTGGTCGGTGTTGTCGCAGACCGCACTGTTCGCGCTGCGTCCGTCCACCTCGGTTTGGTCTTGTCCCCGACCGCTGCTTCCCTCTTGCTGCTCTTGGCGCTGCTGCTGCTGCTGTCCGGCGTTGGTTTTGATCGTCCACCGCACGAGGGGACCGATAGCCTCCACCGCGAAGTCGACCCCGCCGCGTACCGAAAGGATATCTGCGTCAACTTTCACATCCACACTATTTTGCCTTGTCGCCCCATTGCTACCATCGACACCAACACTGCTATCCTTGGCGGCGGCCGAAGAGGAGGAACAATGGCGGCGGCCGCGGACTCGACCGCGGATCTCGTGCGAGGTTGCGCCGCCACTTGTGCTTGCGGCGCTGGCAGCACTAGATGACCGGCCGCACCTGTTGCTGCCCGAGGAGTCAGGGGAGGAGGGAGGAGTTGAGAGGTCGTACCCGTTGCCCTCTTCCGTGGCAACAGTCGAATGCGGGGCTGAGAGACGGCGCGGGTTCGAAGAAGGGGAACGGGAACGGGAGAGAGACGTCGAAAGGCGCCGCTGACACTGCTGCTTCCGTTGATGCTCCGCTTGTGGATCCTGTCCGGCCCCCGGAGAGTTTGGATCGGTCTCCGTTGCTGGCAGTGATGTTGTAGCCTCGGTTTCTGCTGCTATTGGTGCCGCTGCCTTTCTGCCGCGCAAGGAGGCCATGGTGAGATAACCTGGCGGCCCTCCAGGCGTTTCGGCCACGTAGACACAGAGCTTGGTCTCCTGAGGTACGGCGGTGGAAGCGCGAGGAATGGATTAAACAAAAGCGCAGTCAGCGGCTGAAACTGCGGCTATTGCTGGCCATATTAAATTGAACAAAATCAGGATTTGGGATCAAAGATGGATTCTTCGAAGAGAGAAGACAATTAATACTGTCTTCAACGACGAGCGTCAGGACCACAACGAAAAGGCCCCGCTGTTCCCTGTCACCACAGTTGCAGGCAGTTGTGGGTCTCCCAAGGGAAAATTCTCATCTGCTGGGCCGACTTAACAGTGACGTATTAATCTCATGGTAAATACGCGCGGTTTCGTGTTCAGTTTGCAATATAGCCAATACAAAAAAAACAGCAACGCGGTGGCAATACGAACCAGGCTGTCTTGCACAGGAAAAGTGTAGGGAGTGCTGGTAGCTTTGACATAAGTACTACGGGAGAAGAACAATTCAAAGACCACAGCCGGACAGCGTACTTGTTGTTGCCACCACATGTACTCTTTTTGTTGACGTTTACTCAGTTCATTCTTTGCCATGTACTGAATATTGTATCACACAAGACAACACATCCACAAAGATAAAGATATCACCACCCACACAGAAGAAATCCACACCCGGTGAACATAAAATACTCTCAGATCAAATAAGGTCACCGAACAAGTAAGGTCACCAAAGCCATCCTCACCAAAGAATGGCACACCCGGTGATATCGATCTAAGAAGACCAAAATGTGCACAACGACGGATTTGGTATAGCTCACCCCAGACCCACATATGCCCCCCCCGGTGTTTGTCGTCGGGGTTGGGTTTTCGTCGCTTGGCAGCGATGTTGTGAAACAAGCCGATCACTTCGTGAGCTCGGCAACCAGGTTATCGCTTTTTTTTTGCCTTTGGGTTATTTTCTAGCGGTAACCATAATGGTGGTCGAGTACATTATGTTGTGCGGGGTCGAGAACCCTCACTCCGCGCAAAGGGGAGAATCGCACCACGTTGAGTTCAAATGGTCAAGCACCCTCGAGGCAGTTACACAATGCTTATAACTGTCTCTGGAAGTGAAAGCACCAGAAAGTAAATTAAGTCATACGCAGCTGTCATCCGTACGCAAGGAAGTAAGCACAAGATGCCGAACACCCTTAGCAGGATACAGCGCACCCTTCATGCGACTCGCCGAATACCTCACGGCGCTTCGCGCTTGGTGATGTGAGAGCCTGGTCCGGTGAGAACCCGGCGTGCTCCGTCCCGGCTTCGTAGGGATGCGAGGTCAATGGTCTAACGACTACGGCATGCACGACTATGAGTACACCCCCACCTCCGCCCACCTACCGTAGACAACACCACACCCCGGTGATAGCATTTCGGCATTACAATTAATATCACCCGGTGCGGTATCCTGTCGGGGGGGTGGTATCTTTTGCAGCCTGGGTGATAAAGTGCAGCTCGCAGCGGCCCCTAAGGGGGTGTGATAAACCAGGAGGTGTGATAGAACGTCCGAACACCCACAGGGTATGTTTGGGGGGTGATAATGAGGGTGTGTGATAACACTGCTTGTAGAGTCGAACTGCTGCTGCCGCACACTCGAAAGGGGTGTGGCTGCTGCTGCTGGTGAGGCGATGCGGTGGTTGTCATGTTGGCTCCTGTTGCTGTGCCAGCTGCTGCTGTTGTGATCAGCAGCAGCAGGAGGACGAGCAGAAGCAGGAGCCGCTTGTGTAGTAGAAGTGTGCTCCCGTTGAAAGAACGAGGTTATCTGAGACGCTTGTACTGCTGCCGTCGAAGCAGTTGTGGAAGAAGCGGAGATACTTGCGGCGGCATTCTGCTCTCCCTGCACGTTCATGTTGTCGGAGGTCTCCATGCGGGGTGCTTCCCCGCACGCAGATATTGTGTGTGTGCGATCCCCACGGGGCAGATGCTGTATCACCTCGGTGATAGAAGAAGGCGCCGCGTGAATGTATGCGGCGTAACCTCAAGGGGCGTGTTATCTTATGTAGCCCGGGTGATAAATCGATGGTTTGTCAGAAACGCCCAAAATTATCACCGGGGTATCGTATTCTGTGGGGGGGGTGATTTCATGTAGGTGTGCTATCTTGTGTCGTCTACGGTATGTCGTACGGCTCACCTCGGGGAACCACAACCCATCTATACGATCACCTGTCTGTGTTCTACAGATCACATCGGGCAAATACATAGATAGATCACCCATGTCCTACAGATCGAGATCACCATGGAGCAAACCTACTCACATCACCTATGTCCTACCGATCTCGAAGGGGCATACCCTTCAAAGAGCTACCACAGCAGTATGTAGTAGCTCGGTCCTCCAGCAGGACAGCAGTACCTGGTATGTCTGGCGAGACAAAATCCCAACCGCTGCTCTGTGCGACAAGTATGGTTTCTTGCTTGCACAACACTTCCCGACTGGCCTTGCGTAGCTGGGTGCTCGTGCGGTCTTCTAAATCCGTAGCTGTTTGAGTGTGGTACCTACTGCTGCTGGTGCTGCTGTGGAGCGTACAAGCAACAAGCAGGCGTGGGATATTCTTCATCGATGTATAGCAGTACTTCTCGAAGATTAAATAAAGAACAGGAGGCCTAAAGTGGGTTCACCGTTTTTGCTGCAGCGAAGAAATCAATGTGCCTAGAATACCAAGCAGAGAGAGAAAGGCCGGGGAGAGCTACACTGGTCCAATCGACGACCTCCGCGATCCATCCAGAAAGAGATATCACTTCAAATTAAAACCGTATTTGTCCGAATTTTCAGAACTGTCGTGAAATGGCAACTACCCGCTCAAGGTCCCTCGGGCGATGGATCGTTTCCTTGCCGCCTACCTGCGCCAGGATATAGAAGAGAGAGAGGTGGATCGTTTCGAGTCGCGCGTGAGTGAGCGAACCCAAAGGAGAGAGAGAGCCAGATCTATCTGTGGTAAAAAACCAAACCGAAACCTGAGACCGCGGGAAGATAGACTGCTGTACGCGTAGGCTTGAACTACAAAAGGGAGGTCTGCCAAGGCTTGGTTGGCAGGGTGTGCCGGGAATAGATGATAGCAGGAAGGCGGTAGCACGCAAATGCGAGCTGGCTCTCCGAGGGTAAACGAACGATCCGCGGGTGGGTCTACTGCTGTAGGGTGGGCTCTCTCCTTTCATGTCAAATCACAAAAAATCTCAATTCTGTACTCACAAGATCGCGATGGTGGTGCTGCGCTCTCGGGACGTAGAATTGTACCGAAGGAATCCCCAAGCCCGTCGTACGCGATCCAGGTGGAGCAAGCTGCGCGATTCCGCCTCGCGGCACCCCAGCGCCCTGCGTGGTTTGGTTTTGGCGAGAGGCGGCAGGAAACTCGAAACTCGACAGGAGGGGGACAACAACCAAGATATTTACAAGGCAGGGGGGGTTACAATACATCGGTGCCCCCGCCCTTGTGACTTGTGACCGCGTCACCCACCAACCTGCAACCCCACCACCTCTCTGTGTGCTGTGGCAACACGTTGCTCTCCTCGCTCGGTCTGTCTGTCTGTCTCACATAGATAGCTGGTGATGGGTGCTCATCGACGTCGTATCTTACGCCAACGGGGTGCCAGGAAGCGTCACGCCAAGTCTCCCGACACAATCTCGCTCGAAGGTGATCCTGATTGCGGCGAAGATGGCTCGTCGCTGGGATCTTCTTGTTGGGTAGAGCCAGCGCCGCGAAGGCTCGCCCGCGGCACGCTGATCCGCCACCATCCTGTGCCTTGCAGCAGCAGCGATGGTGCAGACAGTGGCAACAGGAGAATGGTGCCGCCGTATCACCCAGGGGCTGCCTGCGCAGAGATGATTGATTACGCGAGAAGGCTGTCTTCTTCCCACGAGGTACTCTTTATGTGTGCGTGTGATCGCACCGCAGTATCCCAAATACAACAAGATCACGTACCACGATCTGCTGCGGTACAGCAGTGTAGTACAGCAGTGTAGCCTTTCAGTGATTGTTGTGTGTATTTCCTGATATCACCTGTGTTCATCTCTGCGCGTGCATGTCAATGCCGGCTGTTGTCTGGCCTCTTTGTACCAAGAAACACATCATAGCTGGAACAAGGAAAAGACAATACATGAGGCGGTGTGTGTGTGACGCGCCACGTTGTTTCCGTCCGTCGTGCGGGCGGCCTACGGCCGGATACTATGCAGAGACAAGACAAAAGGCGATAACGCTTGTTCTTTGATACTACATGTACTTCGTACAACTGTTACAGTGGTCTACTTTTTCTGTATTCACCATCGTTGTTGCATGCAAATACATGTAAACGGCGACACTGGAAATCTACACCCTTCTGTGGGGTTTGTGACAAAGATTGCTGCTGTGTCTGACCTTCTAGACAACACACAACATAATCCCGTTCAAATGTGGGTATATCTCGAACGGGTCGTCTTTTTTGTGTGTGTATTTATTTTTCCTAACATGTTCGTGTGAGTGCGTACGTAATCGGATCTGTAGACGAGATGACGGCTGTTTCAGGTGCCCTGCACATAGGTATGCGTTGGGTACAGTAGAACGACCAGAGAATGACTGTACGAAGCATCCACGTCAACTGTCGTGTGGGACTCTCTGCTATTTCCCCCCACCGGGTGTGAGTGATAACTAGCATCTAACATCAAGCATTACAGCTGCTACAAGGACTCCAAGGGCATCTCACTTAGGGTTTACGAATACAACACACCCACAAGGATTCTGCAGATCAACAACTCGTCGCTATTCTCAAAAGACGCACCAGAGCGCACGCACGTGTACACGGCAATAAAAAGCATCCAATACTGCATATTTCGCGCTTAACAAGGGCTGGGGATAGGGCTCTCGCTCTGTCTAAATGTTATCGTCGGCGAAACCAAGAGGAGTCCCGTACTCGGCTGCTGCTCGAAAACTCGTCTGCAACCCCCCGCCCCCCGCCCCCCCACCCAGACCCCTCTGTCTAGATGCCTTTGTCACACACCCTCGCCAACTTGCGCGGGATATAGCACACCTTGCGCAGTGTGTTGCACTCCCAAAACGCTCTTCCTTCCGCGACCACACTCTTATGTACCATTTGTGCTGTTGCAATGTCTTCAGGCCGCCCTTGGCGGACTGCGGCAGTGGTTAACGCGCGAGTCCGTGAATCTATCGCCGCTCCTCGGGGACGTGGGGTTGACGCTGGCGGCCAGCTGTCCTCCGGAGGAAGAAGACCTGGTGCTGCTGCGTTTTCTCCGCCACAATGCCTGGGACGTGGAGTTGACACGGGCGCAGGTGCGTTTGCAAGGGCTTCTTATTTGTCGGCGGGCTGTGATTTACTCCTGAACGGCTGTGTATCTTCTTCCGTGCAAAGTCTGGCCCATCTTGCAGTTTTGGTTGGCCAGGCGATCTACTACTGTAGACTTTGACAACTGTACACATGTGTGTATGTTTCTTTCTGGGATTTTCCTATGATTTTTGTCTATCGTCTACCCCCCCCCGCCCTGTTTTTTCTTGGACCCACCTGCTGGATCCCGTCCACGGGTATTGGTTGTCTTTCGGGTTCATTCTCCTACAGTATAATAAACATGAAATGTAGAATAACCTGTGTAATAGCCACGCAAGCACCCATGCAATCCAGTACAACACCGTGTCCCACCTACCTCATCCTCTGTCCCACGTTTCTCCGCTCTTCTTTGCCGCCTCAAGAAAACGGGTGTCGTTTTTTTACCACCAAATCTCTCCGACACGAACATGTTACCCTCTCCCACACGTAAACACCAAAAAGTGAGAGACGTATATATTCCAAAACCGTCAACAACAAGTGACAATACCAACACCACCACCAACAACAACAACAACAACAACAACAAAATTCCACAGCTTGAGGCCAGCCTGTCGTGGAGGGTCGAAACTGGCGTCGCGAGCAACGCACGCCGAGAGCCGTGGGAGGTCAGCGGGTGCGCTAGCGCGGAAGCGTTTGAGGAGCTTTGCCGGACGCACTATCCTCACTATACCATTGGAACAGACCGTGTCGGACGGCCCATTCTCGTCCAGAAGGTGAAGCTATGCAGGTGGTGGAGGGGGTGGTGGTGGTGAAGGAGGACGCTTGTTGCTGGTGATGGCCTGGTTTGATGGACTCGGCTTGCTGCTGGAAACTCGTGGGCATCAACTGCTGCTGTATATTAACGCCTACGGCGTGCTGAGTGTCATCTGTGGTGTTGGCTATTCGGTGCTGTTCAGAGAGAATGCTCGGTGCTACAGGCACACCAGAACCTTGAATGCGACAAACTCCACACGCGTGCCCCTGATGCAACACGCGTGTGCCATGCGAGTTGGTTTGTGTTTGCTACCTCTTTCGGAGGGAGTTGTCCTGTCGTTCGGATCTTTCTATCTCGTCTTCTTTGCTGCGTCAGCTTCTCTGTGCATCTTGCGTTGTAGCTCTTTTGTAATTTTTTTTTGGCCTTCTCTTTGTGCTCCCGCCTAACTCTCTCTTATCTCTGTCGAGGGCTGTCCTCACCCCCCACCCCCTCTTCTCTGTCGCACGCAATACCCCCGCGTTTGTCCCCCCCCCCCCCTCGTCGTGTTGTTCCTTACCCTCCGCGCTCGGCACCTACTTCTCTCCTCGTTGCCCCTCCCTCTGATTTTCGGGAAAAAAATCACTCGCACAGTACGGGAACTTCGACACCTCCAAGCTCCAAGAGTTTACCACGCTTCCCGGGCTTCTTCGCTACCACGCCTGGGAGCAGGAGAACAACGCCGATCTTTTGCGGCGAACCTCCGCGCGAACGGGCTACCTCGTCGAAACTTGTGAGAGAAGCACACAGTCAGAGGACGGGAAAATCATACGTACACACGTACAAACACCCTGCAATACGTTCGGTGCTGCGCACACAGCCTCTTGATATCGAGAAAATAACAGAGTCGTAAGCGATTACCGTCCTAGCCTTCTGTCTTGGCATTTTGTTTGAAACACCACGTGGACCGCTGTATTGATTCTAGTATTTGGACTTTTTTCTGATTGTTAAAGACCCATGCTGCATCGCGCAGCCGGCAGCAAGTAATGCCCGGAAGAGGCGGGTGTTGTCAGCCCTTGCAGCAATTAATCTATACCTTGAAGCGTGCTTTGTCCATGTTTTGCACGTGATTGTGTTTTACGAAAGACGTGTAGTTCCTTGTTTGTGCAGTGGCAATGCTACCCAAGCTTGTTTTCAGCCCCCCACCTGCCATTACGATGTACGATGTCAGTTGCTTCGCGTAGCGGTACGTTGTTCAACGATCACAAGCCGGACCACACGACAGCAAACTCTACGTCCGTAATCCTGCCGCCGTAGAAATGGTGGCTAGCTATAATAGTTACGCTTGAGATCCGCCACAATAGGAACACCATGCCGGCCCGGAGTAAGGATAGCCTTACTGCCGTGGTGCTGGTACGCCAAGGCGCTTTCGTTCCTCGTGATCAGTCACGCTCGGCTCCCCCCATTGTTTCTTTGTTTCCACACGGCGCTCCCCTTTCTCGGATCGGCATTTTTCCGTTCGCGTTGCGCCGCAGACGCTGTAGTCATGGACTTCAAGGGGATGTCCATGGGTCAGGTCAACCGAGATTTTCTCTGGTGAGACGTGCTTAATCGGCAGGGGAAATCTCCGCAAAATATGCAGGCGAGCCCAGCTTCTCTACTACGCAGCCCCCCCCCCCCCCCAAGTTCACCCCCTGCCGCTCCGTGGGAGCTTGTTGTGGGGGGGGTATGGTCTACTGTTCGTGTATTGTTTTCCGCACGTCCAGACACTGAATTTCCTTTGGTGGCTTGGCCTCTGCAGACAAGGTGTGTGAACGGTTGTATTTGCCCATGTCACTTTCCACCGCTCGTCCCTTTGATCCCCATGCGTGTGGCAGGTCCCATGCACCCCACTCGAGTATGTTCTCCTTTTTGTGGTTCGTTGCTCTTCAACCCCAACCCCCTCCACCTGCTCCGTCCTCTCGAGGACGCGTGGTCAATGGTCTAACAGCTAAGGCATGCTAAAACATGAGCACCCGTCCGTCCGTCCGTCCGTCCGTCATCGGGGACTGTTGTTCACAAGTAGGCTCTTGCGAGAACTCTCGGAGATGGACCGCAAGCACTACCCAGGCCGCGGCGGCGTAATCTTCGTCATCAACACCCCGCCCTTGTTCGGACTCGTTTGGCAGGGCATCCGCGGCTTCTTGGCCACCCAGGTGGTACATAGACGTGATAACACCAAAGCGTCCCCGCCGCCGCGCGCCTTTGTTCCCTCTCTGCTGCATGCAGCTCTTTGGTCACTTTTGGGGCTTTTGTATTCTGGCGGTCTTGGCCGAATGAAAGTATCACGGCCGTCCAGCCGTCGTCCCGTTTGTTGTTGGTCAATTCCACCTTCGTTTTGTTGAACTTCTTGTGCAGCTGTAGCCGTGTTTGGAAAAAGTTCACAGTCAATCGCCCTATCTCGGGCCGTTGCCGTGTCGACCCTCTCCCAAGTAGTCTCTCGACAAACATCTATCCTACGATTGCTTTTCGGACTTCGGCTGTACCATTGCCCGTCGCGAACGGTAGAGCACCCACCCTCCTCGATGAGTCATACAACAACCAACAATCTCACGCCGTGCCCACTTTTCTCTATTCCAAGGTGTGTACTGTAGGGAAGGTAAAGGAGTGTACCGGGGGTATTTTTCCGAGTATATCTACCCGTACCCGATGCTTGTGTGAGTTCTGTGACACTTCCGAACCCTACCAGGCACTTTGCATTTTTCGGTTTCTTGTGAGAGGCCAGGCACGACTGTTCTTTTCTAACCCGGCCGCTTCAATATCTTTGGGTGCACGGCGTGGCTCGTAGCTCTGTTGTGGGCGTGCACCTGTCTTCTGTTCGAGGCTGTTGGTTTTTTTCTTAATGGCCCCGGTTGGCCCACTACTGTTGTAGTCACTCTAACTCGTGACCACACACGGACGCGCGAGGGCCGTGTGTATTGAAACAATGTTGAGATGTAGGTGCACCGCCGGTGGCTCTTTTCTGGCGCAGCTCTGCCCCCCCCCCCCCCAGGATCTGAACAAGTTCGCCCTCCTGCACCCCCTCCCTGTTCTACACCTTCGTACAGGCCACCGTCCACATTTTCGGCGAGGAGAAGGAGTGGAAGGCAGCATTGGCGGAAGCGGTCGACCCCGCCGTCCTGCCGTTGGACTACGGCGGCACCGCCCCGCACCTAGCGGACACCCCTTTGCTCCCGGCCTTTCACCGCGCGCTTGGGCGAGACACTCCGGCGAGGGTAGGGGCGGCGGCGGCGGCGGCGGCGGCGGCGGCGGCGGCTTGTCACTCAGGGATGCAAGAAGAACGGGAGGGCGAAGCGACAGTACCCGTTGAATGCGAAGGGAACGTGACCGCGAGATCGATGTCCGCTCTGTTGCGGCGCTTCTCCCTGGGCGGTGATGGCGCCAGCTGCACGCTCGAGCGCCGGAGTAGCTCCTCCGACGGCTGTAGTCTCGAGGGCGACCAGGCCGGCGGCGGCGGCCCCGTTGTATTCGAGCGTGATTTTGGCGGTGGCGGCGGCGGGTCCTCCGAGAGCAATGGGGTCGACAGAGCCGGTGGTGGTGGCGGCGGTGGTGGTCGTGGCGATACCAATAGATCAGCAAAGAGGTGGGGGGAAGGCGGTAACGTTGTGCCGAAGGACGTACCAAAGGAAGTTGGTGGGAGCGGTGTGACAAACGAAGATGATAACGGCGCAAACAAGAACAGCAGGCGCGGCGGGGCACCATCGCACAGGCCGGTGTTGAGCGGGGGCGCCCCGAGCAATCCCTACGACTCCGCAGTGCATCTGGGAGCTCAGGCGGCGGCAAGCATGGTGGAATTGCCAGCGAGCGATGACCCATGGGCCACCTCCTCGTCCTCCTCCTCTTCCCCCTCCTCCTCCCACGTGGTCATAGTCCGAAAACGACACGACAAACGCGACGGCAGTGACACCGCCGACCGAGGACGGATGGGGAGAGAAGAAGAAGAAGAAGACCGCCGTGGAGACCTTGAGTGCGTCGTGGACTCCATCCCTGGCGTGCGCCTGGTCGCGACGGTAGCCGGGACCGTCGCGGGCGCGACCCTCACGGCCGCCCTAGGCGTAGCCGGGTTTACCGTGGGTGTCATGGAAGCCGTGGTTCCGGCTCAGGCATGGGCCGAGGGGGTACACGCCTTTCAATCGGCACGGTTTTTGGGCGGCTGGGCCCTCGGACGCTAGGGAGAACGCTTCGCAAGGGAGGGGGGCGGATGACATCCGTGCAGACCCAGTCGGAGGGGGGCGGAATGTTCTTGTAAAGGGTGAGAGCACCGCCTTACTGTCCCGAGTGTGATGCGGCACATCTCCCTCCTTGCCTTGCTTGTTTCCAGCATGTACTTCATTTTTATTTTTTTTGTCAAGGGTGAGAGTACCGCCTTTTCTGTCGTTTGCTCCGAGTGTGATGTGGTACATCATCTCCCCCCTTGGGTGTTGTTCGTTTCCATGCACCACGTCGATGCGGGAGAGAGTAGTACCATTAGAGGGCCGTGTAGTCGAGGATGCACAACCCGCAGATACGGGGAGGTCCCGTTGCGGTGGAACGAGCCCCCTTGCTTTGCTTGCGCGGATTGTGACGTGCTTTGATGTCGTCGTCCGGATACGAGAGGCGGCCTAAAGGCTGTGTGTCGCTCGTTTTTTTTTTTTGCCTCGGGCAAGGCGACCTGAGCGTGTTTTACAGGGGAACGTGGCGGAAAGCCGGATGTACCTAGCTGACGCGGATCGGCGGCGCCTGGTTCTCTTTATTCGCCAATTCCACGACATTTTTTGTGTGCCATGGTTTAAAATTCAACCTTCCCGTCCACTTGTTTCACCGCTTTTCCGTACGCGCAGTTGAACTGTACTGTGGCCTCGGCCTTGTTGTGGTCAAGACCTTCGTGAGTAGGACCCAGTACGTTTGTAGGAGCACGGGGCTTCCGCAGCAGCATGTGCGACGATGTGCTAGCGACAACTCTCCTGTGGACGCGCACGGCGTGGGCACCGCGCCAGGACTCGAAATTTGTGTCGAGCAATCCCCCTTCCCTGAGCCGGGTTCGTTCGACTGTGTGCATGTTTTGATATTTGTAGTTGTGGTGACGTGCCGTGTACCGCTGTGCATGAAGAAGGTAGGAACGTGTTTGGTTCCGTGTTGTAGAGGTGCTTCCGTGTGTGAACGCGTAGCTTCGCTTGTGCCGGTCGCTGTGGGCATCGTTGTAGACGTCCACGAGGTTTTACAATACGCGTCTGCTCTTTGGTGCACTGCTACGAGTAGAGATGAAAAGTTTGACGGCGTCTTCGGTACCGATGCGGATTCATCAGCAGTGAGTGCTTTGATTTTTCAAATAGCTGTTGCGTGCACCGGTGTTATTCGAAGAATCTAGCGAACCGAGAGAGAGAAAAACGACACCGAAGAAACGAGCACCGAAATCGGAAGCTCAGGGGGCATGGTTTGCTCCCGGGTGGCCTTGGACGGCGTGGATCCGTCTTGCGGAGCTTGTTTTGTGGAGTTGGGGCGGCCTTTCTTTCTTGTACAGGGATTCCTATCGATCGGGATTTTGGTGGGAGACAGACCCAAGGCGCAAACAAGGGCCGGAACGCCAAGTATACACACTTGTGCACAGTTGTACCTTCATGTGTCAAGCGATATTTTGACAGAAACACGGTCGATGTCGACCGCTCCTTTCGGTGTTTTTGAAGTTGAAACTCAAACGGTTCTGAAGGAGGGCGAGGGGGTATTGTCCCTGCGAAGTGGCGGAATGGATTGTGGGCGCCAGGACAGAAAATGGTGCCCCCTCCACCAAAAACGAGTGTGGACGAAATTAATCAAACCTTAGCTCAGCACTGGTGTTACCAATGGTTTGACCAAGGTTGGTTTCGACGAGGTCCACCACAGCGCCGCCTTTGGAAGTTTGCCGTTTTTCTTGGGTTTGTACAAACAGAAAATATGAACGCTGTGTATCCCCCGCTGATACGATAAACATCTATGCACACACCGAAAGGCGTGTAGAGTTGGGCCACAACAGATGGGGACCAACACGAACGCGTGTCTCATCCCCACGAGAACCTGTTCCGCTTGCGCGCCAACCACACCCAGAGCTGAGCTGTATAGACAGGTTGAGAGAACTCGGGCTGACCAGGTTGCAAGGCCGGGCTAACTGTTACTGAGAATAATTGTGTGGGACCACCAGCCGGGACAAGAGGCTTTGGTCAGTCCCACATTCAACTCTTGAGAGAGGGCATTAACATAACAATGAGTCGGCTCATCGGCGGGTGAAGCAAAGCAACCGGAAGCAAGGTCATGGTGAATTCTCGGCCCACATCTATGGCGCATATGGCGCACATCCAATCGGAAGCGTAAGAGGCAACACGACCTTCGCCATACCCATGGATGGCGATATGAAAGGCTAAATCACCACGTCGTAACCCCCCCCCCCCCCGCCCTTTCGGCATCGCGAGTCAGACACCAACCAACAATCTTTGGTGCTCCATCTTGTCCCCACCCACCGCACGATTTCCAAACTGTCGTTGTCCGCACCTTTGTAGCAAAGACCAGAGAGTAACCTTTACCCCAACCCTACCTCCAAGGCCACTGTCTCGTACGCATCAGCGCTTTTGGCGATGCCAACGACACACTTGTAAATCTCTTGGCGATTTCCGGCGCCGTGTGGTTAAGATGCAAGAGCAACAAACTCGCTGTACTTTCTCCGTACAATATTGAATGCGTGTGTACTGCATCAACAAAAAAAAATGCCTCCTAATCCTTTCGCCAAAACTGTGAAGCCCCCCCCGCCAAGTGTCTCACTCGCTGCCCAGGACCGGCGTGGGGACACCCCTCTACCCCCCCCCCCCCAAACC